CATTAGACAACGTAATGAAAACACCATACAGTAACTCGATGAAGTTAGACATTGACAACAACAACAACAACAACAGCTAAAGATTTGGTTGCCAGGCTCAAGATTATCTACCGAGACTAACAATTTTTCCAGGGAAATCAAGGTTTTTTCAGCTTAAGGCAATATCCTCTGGACCACTATTCTGGTCAGAAAAAATATGAAACTGCAAATTATTAGCAATGGGAATATACCCAAACAGACAGAACAAAGCCTTCTTACCTCGATGCATTATCTTATGCTTCTCTCTCAGGTATGTCAGGCCTTTTATCACCTGCAAGAAATAAAATTATGATTATAATAATTATTTTAATATTTGCTCCATCTATTTTAATCTGGATTTTGTAATAATACATTTGAACTTGTGCATTTTATGAAAGGATTACGAGGATTGTGTGCTTTTAACTATGCTGTACCCCGCCAAAAGGAGAGGAAGGTAAGAAATAAAATTATTATTATTATGATTATTATTTGAAACACAACAAGATCAGTACACAGAAAACAAGACCAATACGCTGGCTTTTGTTTTTGTCCACACGTCTGACACTTCGCAAGTGTCTAGGACTGTGTAATGTTTCGGTGAATAATGCATGCACATCCGAGTAGGGTGGCCTTTTGCTGTTGACAGATGGTGATTTTGTCTGTGCCAATTGTTTTTAAGTGCAGGACAAAGTCTTTAGGTACTGCACCCAGTGTGCCGATCAGCACTGGGACCACCTTGACTGGCTTGTGCGAGAGGCTTTGCAGTTTGATCTGTAAATCCTTGTATCGTGTCAGCTTTTCCAGTTGTTTCTCTTCAATCTTGCTTGCTTTTAACACGTTCCTAAGGTCAGGAGTATTGTGCTCCAAAACTCTGTCAGTCTGAATTCGGAAGTCCCAGAGGAGTTTGATGTGTTCATTTTCTGTAACTTTTTCCGGCTTGTGATCCCACCAGTTCTTTGTCGCAGGCAGATGGCATTTGTGGCACAAGTTCCAATGGATCATCTGAGCAATGGTGTTATGCCTCTGCTTGTAGTCTGTCTGCGCAATCTTCTTGCAGCCGCTGAGGATGTGATCCATTGTTTTGTCTGCTTCCTTGCAGAGTCTACACTTGGAATCTGTCATCAACTTTTCAATTCTGGCTTGGATGGCATTGGTTCTAGTGGCTTGTTCTTGGGCTGCCAGAATCAGCCACCTCCTTTGTCTCCTTTCTCCAAGTTCCATTTGTGAGCCACATCCATGTTGTTTCTGTGTCTATTTTGTTCTCAATTTTTCCCAGGAACTGTCCATGGAGAACCTTCTCTTGCCAGTTTTCTCTTCTGCTCTGCATTGTATTTTTATGGTATTCCATCTTTGTCTTTTATTGTTGTTGTTGTTACACTATGTAACTAAATTTGAAAAACAAAATTCTGTTCCAGGTTTGAAAATGCTATTTCTTATTTAATTGTGCAGTCCTTACTTTAAAAGTAATTCTTATGCTGCAGAAACTTTGTTTTTGTGGCTACAAACTAGGTTGCAATTGGTTGAGCTTTGAAGATGAGATAGATATCCATTGGAAAACTATTGCCTAATGTGCTGCAGCAGTATGTCCCTTCCTGCAGAAACAAAGTTTGTGTAGGTTCATCAACTTTCCCCATGTGTTTATAATAGCACTGATTAGGAAATGACATCGATAACCAAGAAACAAAAATTGTGTTACATAGTGTTGCTATTATTATGAAACGAAACCTAACGGAAGCCCATTTGTTTACAATGTGTGGGAAAAGTACAGTCAGATCTATTTGCTTTGGAAGGGAAAAAAGATTCCCCAAATGCCAATGCCGCATACTCACCGCGATGCTGACTTTGCCGAGAATCTTCTCCGGTATCCTGCCGGCCTTTTTCAGGACTTGGTCCAAGGAGCCGCCATCCTAGAAAAGATGAAGGGATTAAGTGGGATTATGGACAACAAGTGGAACATGAGCTAGGAATGTGATGCAGCCGCTAAAAAAGCCAACGGGATTCCAGGCTGCACCCGAAGGAGGATAGTGCCCAGATCAAGGGAAGTCATGGTGCCGCTCTCTAGTGTCAAATACATTCTGTACAAAGCCCTTTGGGAAGGGAGAAGGCATCCAGGCATCCAGGAGCATTGCAGCAAAGAGACAGCTGGGCTTCTGATGAAACTCAATGGCTGGGATTTAATGGCAGAGCCAGGAAATGCTTGGGGTCTTTAGGAAGTAAGCCCAACTGGGAATTGGGAGTCTGTTTGGGTCTTCAGTTAGGCTGGATGCTGTTAGGAGCACGGCATCAGCATGGGAAAAAAGGGGCAACCCTTATCCATTATCAGTCAGAATAAGGGGAAACTTTGCAACCTCCAGAGTTTATAGCCCTTTCTGGACCCCCGCGAGGCTCCTCCGACCCAAGAAGATAATAATGGATCAAAGTGCAATGAAGTCCAATATCAAAAAACAGTGCAACGAATAACAACCAACTGTAGAATCAATGCCATCTGATGCCACTTCAACTGCCCTGGCTGAATGCTACAGAAAATATAGGTGGAGCCCAAGTTACAAACAAGATTGGTTCTCAATTTGTTTGTCAGTCGGAACAGATGCATTTTTAGTGTAACTCCAGCCAAATACGTATGTGTTTAGCTATAAGTTTAAGTAAGTATTTTGTTTATTCATTTGCAGCACAAAGGCTCATACGTGGCTTGATGGATCTGGACCAAACCTATCCTATTGAAAAGAGGAAGGATGGATGGATGGATGGATGGATGGATGGATGGATGGAAGGAAGGAAGGAAGGAAGGAAGGAAGGAAGGAAGGAAAAGGGGAAGGAGGGGGATGGGAAGGAGAAGGAGAGAAAGGAAGGGAGGGAAAAGGAAGAAAGGGAGGGAGGGAGGGAGGGAGGGAGGGGAAGAAGAAAGGAGAAGGAAGGAAGGGTGAAGGAAAGAGAAGGAGAAGGAGAAGGAGAAGGAGAAGGAGAGGAAGGAAGGAAGGAAGGAAGGAAGGAAGGAAGGAAGGAAGGAAGGGGAAGAAGAAATGAGAAGTAAGGAAGAAGGAAAGGAAGGGAGGGAGGGAGGAAGGAAGGAAGGAAGGAAGGAAAGAAGGAAGGAAGGAAGGAAGGAAGGGGAGGGAAGTGAAGGAGAAGGGAAGGATGGAAGGAAAAAAGAAGGGAAAGAATGGAAGAAGGGAGGGAGGGGGAGAAAGAAAAAAATGAAGGGAGGGAGGGGAAATAAAAGGGGGAAGGTATGAGGAAAGAGAGAAAAGGATGGGAAGAGAAAGGAAGGAAGAAGAGAGAGGCATACAGAGGGAATCAAGGGGTGAAGGAAAGCAAAAGAAGAAGGAGGTGCATGACAGCAATGGAGCCTATACGTGCTAGTAATCCTTGAGATACAATGAAGACCTAACAAAAGCTGCTCTTCGATGTCCAGCTTCAAGGGTGCCCTTCCCTTGGCTTATCAGAACCTGGTTTTGCACAAAGCAAACACGCTCTCTTCCAAGTCAAATATATACTGCTGTTGTGAACAGTGTCAGAGAAGGGGAGACAGGGCGAGCTGCATGGATGCTGAGTACAATGCAAGTTTACAGCCAAAAAAACAGTTTAAAAAGCAATATAGAAAGTCAAAATATTCATCTTTACATAGAAACTCATGCATCCGCAGTAGAGATGTTTGCTGTGCTCCAACTTTCATGGAGTCTCTGGTCACCATTGAACCTCGATTGATCAGTATCTGGACCTCAAAAGCTTTACTCCACAGTACACAATATGCACTGTATTTCCTCACATAATATTCGCACTCCCTTTCCCCCTATTTTAAAAAAGAGCTATGATTATTATGTGAGGGAAAAAATGCTGTTTATTCACTGGTTTCTATTGTTGTTGTTTAAATAAATTGCCTTACCTCCAAAAGGAGAGGAAGAAGGATGATCCAGTCTCAAATAAAAATCTGTTTCTATTTATTTGCTTTTTTAAAACTACAGAGTCATTTGGGGCTGATTCCCCCTTCTTTCCTTCATTTTCCAAAGGCAAGGCACTTTAAGAACTACAAAATGGAGGTCTCGGAGGCTCCACTCTTCTCTCTTTTCTCCTTCCACCAAAGGCTATAAGGCAATTAAACCTGAAATGGAGGTCTCTCAGACTCAGAGTGTTTCTCCTTCCTCAAAAGGGCTCCATTCCATGCTTTGTAAACCACCTTAAGGTCTTGAAGGAAGATGGGAGGAGAGAAGAGTTCAGCTGCAGAGACCTCCATTTTGTGGTTTGTAAACTGCCTTGTGTTCTAAGAGGGAAGGGAAAGAAAAAGGGAAAATGAAATGTGGGTGCAACTATTATGCGAGGAAAACAATACCATTTTGGGCATCACAACATTATTATGGTATATTACGATGCAAAAAGGCCTCCTTACCATGTTCTCCATGCAAATACTGATCTCCCCATCGCTGTAGAATGCTCCGTAGAAGCCCACAATATAAGGAGAATTGCATTCGTGCAAGACTTGCAGTTCCCGGATGATCTGATTCCGAATGGCCGGCTTGATCTCCAGGTGGATCAGCTACAAAGCAATGAATTGTCACAAGCACTGTTACTGGATGAATTTTGGGCATGTGTCCTCCTAATGCTATAACATGTTATGCCTCCTCATAGAGGAATGGGACATCAGCATCACAGATTGCACGAATTTCTTCCTGAAATTGCTTCTGTTGCTCTATTGCTCTGAGTGTGCCAGAAAGATCTATGGTGCAAACTCCATATTGGAAACATAGCCATGGTGCAGTTGCATACATTGGGGTCACTAAAATCCAACAATGGAGCCACATGTGCTCCTCAAAGCAGGCTGCTGGGGATGGTATGATCAGGATTTTAGGACTTAATGACACAAAGGGTGTAATTATTACTGTATATCCTCGAGTATAAGCCTAGTTTTTCAGCCCCTTTTTTAGGCTGAAAAAAATCCCCTCGGCTTATACTCGAGTCAATGTTATTTATTATTTTACTCTATTATTAGTATTATTTTTATTACATTTATTATTTTACTCTATTATTATTACATTTACATTATTTTACTGTATTGTTATATTTATTGCATTTATTATTTTACTCTATTATTGTTATTATTACATTTATTACTTTATTATTATTACTATTATTATTAAATTTCCATTATTTACTCAATTATTATTTTTATTACATGTTATTACATTTATTAGTTTATTCTATCATTATAGGTAATAGGTAATAAGCACATTTACATTGAAGGAGGTTAGAATAATGGTTGAATCAGAGTTGGGCAGTCTTATCTTAAATTACAGTTTTGTGTAAATACTCAAAAACATTTAACCTACTGACAATTACCAGTAGCAGCTACATTTCTCACCCTCGGCTTATACTCAAGTCAATACGTTTTCTGTGGTAAAATTAGGTCCCTCAGCTTATATTCAGGTCGGCTTATACTCGAATATATACGATATTTGTATTTTTATATCGATATTTTAACTAATTTTTATTTGAATTGTGTTGTAGCTATTATTAGATGCCCTGGGTCCCTATATCCAGAGAAAGGCAACATACAAATAACTAAGGTAAATTATTATTATTATTATTATTATTATTGGTTGTCTTTGTCCTTTTTGCTTCTGGCCCTTCTGTTCCTATGAACAATCTTTCTTGGAAGTTTCACGGAGCAGCAATTCACCTTTTAAATGGATAGCAAGGGGGCCCCTCACCAAACAACAACAAGAATTACCGGTTTTTCCAAATCAGAACTGTACATCTGGCAAATTCCAGAAACGAGGTTTCTCGCAGTCCATACATCTGAGCTTGATTTATTTGTTTGAGTGTTGAGCTAGTGGGCAGTTTTGGGGATACTTTTGTTCTCTCTCTCTATGATATCGATATAAATAAAAATGTAATGTTCGTTTGTGGGATTAGCATAACTCAAAAACCACTGGATGAATTGAGACCAAATTTGGACACAATACACCTATCAGGCCAATGAGTGACCATCATGCATAAAAACACTGAAAAACATAGCAAAAGGGACTTAAAAAGCCAAAAAAACCCAAAAATTACTATGCATGTGCAAAACCATATATATATATATACACACAAACACACATATATGCATATACACATGGAAAACACATACACAGAAAGGGGGAAAGAAGGAAGGAGGAAGGAGAGAAGGAGGTAAAGAAGGAGGGAAGGAGAGAAGGAAGGAAAGAAAGAAGGGTAGAGAAGGAAGGAGAGAAGGTGGGAGAGGAAGGAGAGAAAGAAGGGTAGAAAGAAAGATGGAGAAGGAAGGAAGGAGAGAAGGAGGGAGGAAAGGAGAGAAGGAAAGAAAAAAGGTAGAGAAGGAAGGAAGGAGAGAAGGAAATAAAAAAGTGAAAGAGAGAAGGAAGGAGAGAAGGAATGAAAGAGAGAAAGAGGGAAGGAAGGAAGGAAGGAAGGAAGGAAGGAAGGAAGGAAGGAAGGAAGGAAGGAAGGAAGGAAGGAAGGGAGGGAGGGAGGGAGGAAGGAAAGAGACAAGGAAAGATGGAACCAAAGAGCAATGGAAATGAGAAAAGAAACAGGTAGAGAAGGAAGTAAGAAGAAGAGAAAGAAAAAGAGGGAGGGAAGGAAAGAGAGAGGGAAGGAAGGAGTGAAAGAAAGAAGGAGGAGAAAGAGGGAGGGAAGGTTTGCCACAGCAATGTGTGGCAGGTACAGCCTATATATACCGTATATTCCGGCATATAAGACGACTGGGTGTATAAGACGACCCCCAACTTTTCCAGTTAAAATATAGAGTTAAGACGACTCCCAGACATAAGACTACACCCGCGTATAAGACGACCCCTGACTTTTGAGAAGATTTTCTTGGGTTAAAAAGTAGTCTTATACACCAGAATATACTGTATATATATATATATATATAGATAGATAGATAGATAGATAGATAGATATAGATATAGATATCTGTGTGTGTATGTATGTATGTGTGTGTGTATGTATGTGTGTGTGTGTATATATATATATATATATATATAGAGAGAGAGAGAGAGAGAGAGAGAGAGAGAGCGAGCCAGCATCCAAAATCTGTAGATGGAGGCAAAGTGCATGAATTTGGGGGAGGTTGGCTTGGAAGACCTAGATCTAAGTCCCTAAAACCACCAGGAGCAGACGTTCATCAGGACAGGAGACAACTGTGCCCACAAATTGCAGTTGGAAATAGACCTCGAATGGCTCCCAATTGAGGAGGTTGTCTCGTTGTGAGACTGCCCCATCCATGGCTTGGTAAGGTCGCCATCTGAGCTCACCTTCCTGGCCATGATGAGGCCCGAGGGCTTGTGGGAGACCTTGAAGACCACACCGCCATTTCCAGCTCCCAGTTCGCTGATCTTCTCAAAGTCATCATCCTTCAGCTCCCCGACTTTCTGCTTCTGGGTCAGAAAGGCCTCCAGGCGTTTTCGTTGCTGCTCGTCCAGCTCCAGTTCCTCCAGCTTCTTCTGCAGGGCTTCCAGATTTGTCCTGAACCGGAAACAAGGGAAGAAATGGCCTTTAAATGGAGACACAAACCAGATCCTTGCAGACAACACATTAGTTTGGAACTGGGTGCTTGCTTATTACACGCAGCATACGTTGGAATCACACAATATGAGCAACATGGAGTAGAACTGGGATCCAGTAGTTGCATACATCCCGCGGACTACATTTTACTCATCTTTCCATTCAGAAATGCTTGTTGCAACGTCTCTAATACAATGCAGAGATTATCGGGGTGGCCCTAAAAAAAGCTCCTACAGATTGAGTATCCCTTTTCCAAAATGCAAGGGATTAAACTTGTTTTGGAATTCAGATTTCTTTCAGAATTTGGAATACTAGCATTTGCATTATAAGATATCTTGGAGATGTGCCCTACATTTAGACATGATATTAATTTATGCATCCTGTACACCTTATGCACATAATCAGACAGTGATTTCATGCAATATTTGTGTATCACCAGAAAGCACAAGTGTTCCTATCGAGCCATGTAGGTGGACCATTTCAGAATTTTGGAGTATTTTGGGGTAGAAGACAGTTCCATCTTTTCTCCTATGCTATTCTAATAATAAAATATAATGTAATTTAATATAATATATTGTATATACATATAATATTTATAATATTATAATGTAATGCAATATAATACTACTAATAATATGTAATCAGATATTTATATTATAATATTACTAATAATATTACAATATAATGGCATAGTACAATATAATAATATTTAATACTGATATTGTACTATGCTAATAATATAATATATTGTATGTATGTATATATCTTGCAAGCCGCTCTGAGTCCCCCTCGGGGTGAGAATGGCGGCATACAAAAGGCATAAATAAATAAATAAATGTATTGGCATTTCAGATGTCAAAACTGTATCACTCCATGAGATAAGCTAAAATCCTATTTAATTTTATTTTAATGTTTGCATGCATTCGGTTTCAAACTGACATATTGCATTATTTTAAGAATTAGCCATTTTGAGTCTCCTTTGGGAGAAAAGAAGCTGGATATAAATAATATTCATAATAATAGTGATGATGATGATGGTAGTCATGGTGATAATGATGATGATAATAATGAGGATAATAATAATAATAATAATAATAATAATAATAATAATAATAATAATAATGCAAATAGAACTACACACTTTGAGGCAAAAATGTGCCACTTTGCAGAGGGTGGGATTATGGGAGTTGTTATCCAGAGCACATCCGGATAAACATTGGAGTAAGAAAGGCTATGATGAAAGGAAGGATGCGGCTGCACATGGCAGAAAGCCTGTGTAAATATTTTATATGCTTCTCTGTGCCAATTCTGTGACCGATTACATAACCAGCTACACACTTGCATTTCCTTCCCATCTCTGCTTCAGTGAAACATGCCTCGAGACAAAAGGGAAGTCAAACAACGGAAGGCTTATAGAATAATAGAGTTGGAAGGGCCCCCAAAGGCCATCCAGTCCAACCCCCCTTGTATTTACAGTATTTTAATTTCTGTTCTGTGTATGTTAATTCTTGTATTTAACAGAAATGTGTATTTTGCACAATGTTTTATGGTTGTGTGTGCTTTAACTGTGTCGTGCCCAACCTTGAGGAGAGGCAGATAAGTAGGTGGGTGTTTCGAGGGGTGCCAAACTGCATTAATTCTCCAGTGTAGATGCACTCCTTGCCTTGACACTACATTAGAGGCTGGCAATCCTTAGCAGGATTTGCATTGTCAATGTCCCAACGCCAGTGCGACCTGCAGGAGAAAGAATAAGCCGCTCAGGCTCTCGAAGGCACATCCACCGGCTTCTGTTTCCCTCCCCAAAGCAGCTTTGCTTTGGTTTAGTGGCAGCTGAGCCAAAGGAGGGTCACGTGGTGCTCTGCGTAATCATGCTCCAGGCCAGGAGATGCTCCAGTTCCTCTGCCCTGGACTTCTGCTTCACCATGCAAACAGCATTCAGAACCTGGAAAGCGACGTCAGACTTTTTTTTTTTGGTTGTGTCAGGAGCGACTTGAGAGACTGTAAGTCGCTTCTGGTGTGAGAGAATTGGCCGTCTGCAAGGACATTGCCCAGGGGACACCCTGATGATTTGATGTTTTGATCATCCTTGTGGGAGGCTTCTCTCATGTCTCCGCTTGGGGAGCTGGAGCTGACAGAGGGAGCTCATCCTCCTCCCCCCAGATTTGAACCTGCAACATGTCGGTTTTCAGTCCAGCCGGCACAGGGGTTTAACCCACTGCGCCAACCAGAGCTCTGACGTCAGACTAAATTTCTTCTACATAAGGCATGGGCGAACTTTGGCCCTCCCTCCAGGTGTTTTGGACTTTAATTCCCACAATTCCTAACAGTCGGTAGGCTGTTAGGAATTGTGGGAGTTGAAGTCCAAAACACCTGGAGGGAGGGCCAAAGTTTGCCCATGCCTGATGTAGAATGAAATGCAATCCGAGTTGTGGGACCTGTGGTTCCACAAGGTATTGAGCCTTTGCTGCAAAAGGGTATTGGTGCCTTACCAAAGTACAGTGAAAGTGGTGTCAAAGTGCATTTGTCTGACAGTGTAGATGCACCAGTGGATTGTCAGGTCTCGACAACAAACAACTAATGTTCCAGAGAACATGCCATAGCGCAAGTTGGGAGAAAGGCAGGAGATGAGTGGGAGATAAAAGTAGGAAGATAGATAGAAAGGTAGATAAATAGATAGGCAGATAAGCACATAGATAGAAAGATAAGCAGAGAGATAGATAGGCAGATAGACAGGCAGACATGCAGGTAGAGAGAGAGAGAGAGACAGAGAGATAAGTAGATAGTGACAGACAGACAGGCTGATGGATGGATCGATAGATAGACAGTTGAATAGATAGGTAGATGAGGTGATAGATGATAGATAGATAGATAGATAGATAGATATAGATAGACAGATAGACAGACAGACAGACAGACAAACAAGCGGATGGATGGATGGATGGATGGACAGATAAGCAGATAGATGGACGGACAGACGGACGGACAGACAAGTAGATAGAGACAGACAGATAGATAGGCTGATGGATGGATAGACAGACATATGAATAGATAGGCAGATGGGCTAATAGATGATAGATAGATAGATAGATAGATAGATAGATAGATAGAAGTAGATGGATAGATAGAAAGAGATAGATAGATAGATAGATAGATAGATAGATAGATAGATAGATAGATAGATAGATAGATAGGCAGACAAACAGACAGAGAGATAGATAGGCAGATAGACAAGCAGATAGAGAGACAGAGAGATAGATATATAGATATAGATAGACAAACAAGCAGATAGGTAGGTAGATAGATAGATAGATAGATAGATAGATAGATAGATAGGCAGATAGATATATAGATAGGCAAGTAGATAGATAGACAGACAGATAGGCAGAAACAGATAAGCAGATAGGAAGAAAGAAAGAAAGAAAGAAAGAAAGAGTAGATAGATTGATAGGCAGATAGATAGTTAGATAGATAGTTATATATACACACAGACACATATATACACTGTATATTTCCATGTATAACCCTAGACATTTCAGTCAAAAGATAACCCCCCCCCCCCCCCCCAAGCCTGGGATGACTTATCCATGAGTCAGTGCAGACACTGTACCTTAACCATTATCTAAAAAGGAACCTGCCCTTGACTTCTACATGAGTGTACGTATGTATGTATGTGTGTGTGTGCATAAAACTACATTGTTAAAGAAGCCATCAGAATCTGCTTTTGTTCCGGTCGCCATGAGGATCCTGCCTTGAAATCTCTCTTGGCTAGGAATTGTTCGTGCAAATTGCACCGTTCAGCCGCCTCCTACGTTGGCATGCGGCAACAGGTGCGTAGGTGTGCTGATGAGCATTCCTCCCGACTGACACGTCTCCGCGTTAAGACAACTTGGCATCGCACCCCTGGCACGCTTAACCACTGTGCAAGCGAGTGCATTCTTAAAATAAGTATGAAACAAGGATCTAGTCCTCAACCAAAGAGAACGCTGACTCTAGAACCCTTTCCTATCGGAAGTTCTAAAGAAGGTTGGGATTCTCTTTCCCTAAGCCCAGGCTTACGAGAAGAACTCAAAACCAAATAGCTGTAGTGGAACTAATTATGATGGGGATGCCTTTTTCCATTATTGTTATTACCCCCGCTATTTCTCTCCACACGGAGACTCTAAATGGCTGCATGCTGCCAGAGACTGACCCATAGATCTCTCTCTCTCCCTCTCTCTGGACATTCCACGGGGATTTCTGACTGAACGGCACACGTGTCTCCTTCCTCTGCGAACAGCTGGCCGCTTCCTGCAAAGAGCAGCTGGCAATGGGCCCTCCCTTCGGGGCAATGTGTCCTCAAATGCTTCCCTTTGCAGAGGGAGGGAAGGAAGGAAAGGATGGGAAAAAAGTAGGAAGGAAAAGAAAGAAGGGAGGGCGGAGAAAGGAAAGTAAGAAGGAGAGGAGAGGAAGAGGAAAGAAGGAGAAAGGGAAGTAAGAAGGAAAGGAGAAGAGAGAGAGAAAGGAACAGAAGAAGGAAACGAAAGGAAGAAGGAAAGGAAGAAAGGAGGAAAAGAGAAAGGAGGAAAGAAGGAGAAAGGAAAAAAGAGGAAAGGAGGAAGGAGGAGAAGGAAAGGAAGAAGAAGGAAGGAAAGGAAGGAAAGAAAGAAGGAAGGAAGAAAAGAGAAGGAAAAGAAAGAGGAGGAAAGAAGGAAGAAAAAAAGAAAGAAGGAAGGAAAGGAAGGAAAGAAAAGAAGGAGAGGAGAGGGAAAGAGGAAAGAAAAAGGAAGAAGGAGAAAGAAAGGAAGAAGGGAAGGAGGAGAGAGGGAGGAGAGAGGAAAGTTAGAAGGAAAGGAAAAAAGAAAAGTAAGAAGGAAAGGAGAGGAAGGAGGAAAGAAAGGAAGGAAGGAGAGGAAAGATGGGAAGAAAAAAGAAAGGGAAGAGAAAGGAAAGGAAGGAATAGAAGGAAGGAAGAAGGAAGGAAG